AAGGTATGCTGATAGCTATTTGTGTTTATATATTAGTCAACATCTTCAAGTAATGAACACAGTCCAAGTAATACAGGATTATTTCATAATCAACCTAAGTGAGGTTGTTTAAGGTTATGGGAAAATCACAGAGTCAAGTAATTATTAAAGAAAACATTATTACAATACATTATTAAAGAAAAGATTGCACTGATTAGACATTCATAGGAATATATCCTGCATCCAATTTTATTAAGCATTTTTTAGAAAACTTGGATGAAGGCACAATCTTTTATTAAATCTGCAGATCTTAACATGGATAAAACAATATGGAAGTGGGTTACTTAAGAGAGTTAGAATTGAGGATGACCAGCTGGATAAACTGCTTGGAAGAAAAAAATAAAATTCAATAGAAATGGACAAAACTCTATGCTTTAGAAAGAATAATCTACCTCGGAGTAAAGGATGGGAGTTTTTTTTTTTTTTTGTAGAATAGATCTGTGTGCCCTGGTAGATTCTCAGATGAACAAAAGGCAACAGGGTTTGCTATTGTAAATAAAGGTAAACATGACACTTCTTCCTTAATCATTATTTAAAGTCTTTTTTTTTTAATAGATGTTTTACATCTTTTCTCTTGCTTATTCTATAACACAAGCTCAGCTGATGCTACCACTTAGATTGTGTGATCCTTAAAATCCCTAAATGCTAGTCATTCCTCTTTGTGAATGCAAGTGAAATGAATCAATATTTTTCTATTCTCAGCTAGTGGACAATTGATAAGTGAAATATATTTCTTGACTATTCTTCGTCTTCAAAGCATAACACAAAATAGAGCTTTCTTTAGAATTATAAAGAAAAAGAATCTAAATAGTGAAGGAGATTTTATTCCTTCTTCTGCACTAGTCTTTAATTCTCATTAATTTTCTGTGACCTGGTTCTCTTCCTATTTATTTAAAAACCGTAGTGAGAACCGTAGTGAGCTGGTCTTTTTTATCCATAATAAAATAACCTATTTGCAAAATGTATCTGTAAAGAGCGACTTCACTCTATTGCAGGCTAAAAAATTGAATGATCTGTTTATTGCTCTGTTTTTCTCCCCAAGCCAAGCATTATTTTCTGTCACTTTCATTCTTTTGACTTTTTTAATGTGAAAGGAAAACAAGAGAATATTATGCTAAACAGATCAAAGCTCAGAGTCCTAATAAATTTAATAGGTTCCATTCTTGGAATTGTATTCTTAACTGAAATCAGAGTAACAAATATATTTAACTCACTGGAGTTGGCCTATGGGAATTAAAAGTAAATTTAGCCTTTAAGCCTTGTTTCATGAAAGAACAATAATGAAAAATATTGAGAACAACCTACAGTGAGGCATTTATAGATTTTTTTTCTTGTTTCTACTTTAACCAAATAGTCCTTTAAGAATTATAAAGTTGTCATGGCAATGGAAAGGCGTTTTATGACTAAAGATTTTGGATAACCAGAAAAGAAAAGCAGTGTTCACCATGCAATTCAAATAACTGGAGGAAACCTAACCTCTGTGCAAATTCTTATCAGATAAAATAAACATTTCAATTAAGATTTTTTTTTATGTTCCCACCAAAAAATCCCCGGGTTGATGTGAAACTGATGTATTCATTTCTACTTTTATTTTCATCCCAGTTCTAATTACACCATCATTTTCTCCCTCATAAACTGGGCGGAAAAGTCTGAGTTATGTTTTTTTTTTCTTAAGTCGTACTACATTTGGGAAATATTTGTAGCAAAATCATTCTAGATTAATATTTTAGTTAATGCTACATTATTGTATTAGCATGCTTGATTTGGAATACTAGTTTTGTTTTTCTCTGTATTTCTGTACCTAGTCACAAAAGATTAAGATATGTTCCTTTGCAGAGGAAAGCATTTCTGTTTTTCTAAGTGCCTGTGCTACCTCTGCTATTATGAGCTGCTTCTGAACAGCTGATGTTAATGCATCTGAGTCTGTTTTGCTGGATCCTGAGAAGAGTGCTGGTGTTGCAAGTACACTACCCAATGGTGACCTATAGAAAACGGGATCCATGTGGAGAAGCTTAGATTAAATTTTGTAAGTAAGTAAGTGATATGTAAGGTTGAGGAGATTGGGGAAGTAATTTGTAAAGATAGGTTAAATTAAAGGCAGGAAAAAATAAATGTAGGAAATTTAAGGTATGTATGTTTAGAGATTAAAATGAAAGGTTGTTTACTTGCTTTTCCTTAGGGAGATGCTCTCTGAGTTAGCTGATTCAGAAAAAAAAGATTGAGCAGAAGTTTTTTGTTCTGGGGATTTTATTTGTTTGCTTGTTTGTCTTTGTAAGAAGACAAAGGTAAGAAAAGTATCTAGGATAAGGACTTTAAACTAAGCCA